GCCGAGGGCGGGCGGAGCGCAGCCCTTCCTTCCTGCCCTCCTTCCCACCCCACCCCGCAGCCTGGCAGCGCTGCAGGGACTCATCCATTCCCGAGTTACTAATATGCAAATGGCAGCGTTTGCATGGGCCTGACGCCAGGCTGCTGGGTGTCAGGGCACCCGAGGGAGCCGGAGGTGGGGCGAGGCGTGGCACCGCGCCGCATGCTCACCTGGCCCTGCATGGCAACAGGCAATGGAGCTCTAGGTCCCTTGGGCTGCGGACCCACGCCCGGTTCGAGAGGCAGCGGGTGGCAGAGGAGGGAGGGCAAACTGGCAGCCCCTGGCAACCTGGGGCTGACGGCAGGAGGCTGGGCACACCGCGGATTTCCCCCCGCCGGCAGGATGGTGAACCTGGAGTCCGTGCACGCAGGTAAAGGGCACGGAGCGCAGCGCGGAGCCGCGGCCGTGGGCTCGGCCAGGAAATGGGCTTGCTCTGATTGCCGTGACCTTTCCTCGCTCCTTTCCCTCCTCTCTTCTCCCGCTGGGGCGCCTGGTGAAGTGCCCGCCTTGCTGCCGGGGGATGGATGCTGCCCTGATCTGTTTAGGGGGCTGCCAAGCCGTGCCCACAACGTGGGAGCAGCGCTGCCGCTGCCAGCCCCAGCGGGGTCAGGGAGCAGCGCTCAGGGCTCTTGGGTGCCTGGAAAATGGGAATTTGGTGCCTGGAAAATGAGAATTCAGTGCCTGACCTGGGTGTCCTGTCATAGGGATAGAGCTGGGAGGAGGGAGAAGGGATAAACCCGCGGAGGGATGCGGCAAGGGTGGAGGGAGGTGTGCGAGAGAGAGATGGGACACGGGCTGAAGGAGAAAAGTTCATGACAAAGAGGGAAAAGGAGGGAGAAATGAATGAGGAGGGAAGCTGGCTCGAGTCAGGAATGAATGAACAGCGATACTCAGGAGCTGCTTCCAGGGGTCTGATCCAGAGGCTCTCTCACATCCCCTCTGAGCAGCCCCTGCCCTGCAGCGAGCTGCAGCCAGAGCCATCCCCACCAAATCCCCCGGAGCTGCGCTGAGCCCCGGCTCACCCTGCCAGGGCTCCGTGCCAGGGGCAGGAGCACATCCCTGGGCACAGGAGCGAGGGTGACGCTGGAACTGGAGCAGCGTGGGCACAGCCAGACCCCCACAGCCCCGTCCTGCCTGGGCAGGCGGTGGGATTTTGGGATTCTGGGCAGGCAGTGGGATTTTGGGATTCAGGAGCCACGTGCCCTGTTCGTGGCTTTTGTCCTGGGCTTTGCGCAGCACAAAACGCTCTCCTGGAGGGGAGGGGAGGATGCATCCATCAGTTTGTGCCAGGCTCATTCCCTGTGGGAGTCCTGCTCCTCAGGGGACACCTGGGGGGCTGTGCCCAGGGCTGGCAGCCCTCCACAAGCCCTGCGTGCCCGTGGGCTCGCAGACAGGGCAGCTGCAGCAGCAATGCCACAGAGATGACAGAGGTGTCACGGTGTGACAGAGGTGGCCAAAGCCTTCGCTCCTCTGGGACGCCTCAGGGGCCAGCCTGAGTGGGCTGGGGAGCCCTGGCCACGAGGAGAAGCTGCCAAGGAGGGAAGCTCGTGGTCGGGGCCCGGCTGGTGGGAGCACCTGCTCTGGGTGTGCTGGTGGTGGTGTCCAACCCACCGGGCTCGTGGGCGACTCTTTCTTCACGGGAGATTCCCCACATCGATCTGTGCCCTCTGCCAGGGCCGCTGGCATCGCTCCCAGGCTGGGTTTGCAGCTTCTACTCCCCCAAATCATCACAAAGTCCGGAGCTTTAAGGAGTCCTCTGCAGGGACAGGAGCCCAGCGCAGCTGTGACGGGGTTTTTGCACCCCCCTGTACAAAAGCAGTTCAGTTTTGGGGTCCCTGAGCAGCTCTGAGGCCCCTCTGTAACAAGCTGCTTGCAGAGCTGTGCTCAGCTTTCACCCCAGTTCTTATCTTGGAGTCTTTTTCCAGCTTTAATGATTTTAGGAGAAGACACAGCCCACAGGGGGGCTGCCCAGGCTCCTCACACCCTCCTCTCTGCTGAGACACTTCCCTGGAGGCTGCCACCACCCCATCCCGGGGCATTTTTGGGAGATTTCACCTCCCTGCAGCCTCCAGAGGGGCTCAGGCACCTCAAGCCCAAAAAACTCCAGGTGATGCTCCCAGCCCAGCCCTCCTCCACCATCAGATTCCACTTTGAAAGGCACGGGGCCGGCTCACCCTTCGCCCATGCCCGAACAGCTACGGGGAATGAGGGCTTGGGAAAGGTTTTATTTGCTGACACCGTTTGTTTCGGCAAAAATAGAGATGCAGATGCATCCCCGGAGAAGTGTCTGCACCGGCAGAGCTCCTTTGGTCTGGTGAACCACCCAGCCTGCCCCTGCCCCAGCTCTGCTTGGGAGCACATTTTTAATATGGCCCAGGCCGCAGTGGCAGCTCCTAATAGGGCTGTGGTTAAGAGTTAGGCTGTCCTAACTGGGTTATTTTTCCCAGAGAGTTTTGATTTATTTATTTTATTTATTTTTTTTTTCCCCAAGCCTGATTATCCTGTGTGTATTGCAAAGCTGGCAAAGCGGTGTGGAAGGAGCTTGGCTCTGTCTGAAGGTGTTTTTGAGGATGGAGCAGGGGTCAAAGCTGGGTTTGCATCGCTCTGGTTGTAGTGGGAGGGTTTTGAGTGTCCATAAAAAGGTGTTGGCTGCAATTAGATTAAAAAATAATTGCTCTCCTTGTTCCCAAGAATCCCTTGGAGGCTGCTGCACTGTTGTCCATAGGAATACAAAATCTGTCCTAAACCTTAAACCTCTCAGATCAGCAGAGAGAGCTTTCCTCTGCTCCCTCCTTAATTTTATTTTTCTTTTCCCGACAGAATAAGCAAACTGTGATAACTTGTACACATTTATAGGGGGGATCTGAATCTCGCTGAAAATAAAATTCAAGATATTCAAACTGCAATAACTTGTGCAGATTCATAGGGGGATCTGAATTTTGCTGCAAATAAAATTCCTGTGCATGGGAATCCCAGGGCATCTCCTTATCTCCGGACTGCAGGAGGAGGGCATTTAGCTGGTGGATAAATTGTGACATGCAATCAAGGTGCAGCAGCAATTGCTCCTTCCCTCCCCACCCAGCCCAGTTTTTAAGAGCAGAGGGATGTGGGGTCACTCCTGCAGAAGGGACAGAGCTTTTCTTGCTCTGCTTCTCTGTCTCTCCTTCCTCAGCCTTGTCTG